GCACCTGAGCAGGTGGTTCTGTCGCACAGCCCTCTGCACATGATGGAGACGTTCCACAATAAATGTGTTCTGGTGTCCGGACAGGGACCAGTGACCCAGATCGCCCAAACGTATCCTTCACCTGTCACCTGCTGGCTTTGAAGTGACCCACTGCCATTTTTCCTTCATTTGTTGTGGCTGAATGAGATGAGACTACAATACTTTAAAGGTGCAGTATGTGTCAAAGCAACTGTTTTGATCTTTCTACAATGTTTGAGAAATTTTTCGTCTCCATAGCAACCATTCGGCTGCAACTCTGAGATGCAGACCCCGCCCCTCAGCTCCTTCAGACTAGCAAGCAGCATTTAGCAAATACCTGGTGGAACTGCAGAGCAAAGCTGGTAAAGGGTTAATAGAGGAGCCATGTTGGGACGACTTCCAGAAGGCAGAGCTTCAGAAAGAGCAGGACCTTTTAAAGAGACAGAGGCCCAATTTCAAGACATTTCAAGACTTTTAAGTCATATTTGATATATTTAGCATAGCCTATTTATAACAACTAAAGGTAAGTTATTTGATTATGTTATAAAATGGCACTATGTCCCTTGAAAACTCATAATACATTTGTTCACCAAGCATCTCCGAGTTCTGATCCGAGTTTGATCCGAGTTCTGATCCGAGTTCTGATCCTTGTGTTACTACAAAGTCTTACAGTGCCAGTTGTTTTGGACTCTTGACTCGGTATTTCTCAGTTTGGGTTTCCAGAAAGTCGTGACCGTGGAGGAGCTCTCAGAACAGCACCCTCTGCTGGACATGGTGGACCACGGCAGGAGACCCACCAGCACGGTGAGTCCTGGCTAACCGAGCAGTTCTGTAGAACCTGGAGTTAATGTATGTCCTGTTTCATGATGATTTTTGTAGCTGATCGATAAAACAGTATTTCCAAACGTGTCTGCTGAATTTCTTCGACATGGTTTTACAGGGGCAGTCTCTAATATGTGCTGCCATCTGGTGGCTGAAGGGGGAAAATGGCCATCTCAGACAGTTTTGTACTTTCTGGTGTCTCCACTGATTAGTTACTGATCCACAGGAAGTGCCTCCTGTTCTGGCTGATATATTTGTTGTGTTGTTTGTTTCAGCCCAGTTCTTCAAGAATCCTCCCGCAGATTCAAGGTAACACAACCACAACAGCGCCCAGAATCTCAGGTTTAATTTCTCCTCTTCGGTTCACCATCACCTCTGAAAACCCAACGGCAGCTTCAGCTGAACGTTGGGTCAGAAAATTCAGACTTGTGGTGTAAGAGCCAAAATTGTCAGTTTCTAATATTGTTTATTATTGAATATGCCGTAGATGTTTTCTTAACCATAAGATTCTCCATTAGTATGTTGTTGTAAAAACGCGCCACCTAGTGGACATACCTGAGAAGTGCTGCGTCACGGTAGATCAGAAAGTGAATTGGATGTGGTGTTGAACTTTGCTCTGCAGTTTTCAGACCGTCACATGTGGAATGCTGTGCAAGATTGAGAATTTGTTTTGTGATATCTACCCAAAGAGAAGTAAAGTTCATCAGACTTTGTGTGAAATTTGAAAGTACTTCTTCAATTCATTAGAAGTTTGTGGAACAGAAACACATCAGCTAAAAGCCAAGCTGGTGAACGTCAACAAAAGAAAACTGAAACTTTCAACAATATGGTGGCTTTACACTGAAAAACTACGTTTCTGGGACAGAAGGAACTGACCATGTAACGCCTAACAAGGTTAGGTCATTAGCCACCAGCTAATGAGGTTGCAGCGGCCTTGGTCTGACGAACGTCTAACTGATCATTTGTCTGAGGTCATTTTCTTCTACGGTTTCAAGAATATTTCTGAACTGAATGAACTTTGGTGGCAGGATTTTATCAGTCTGCTGATGTTTCATCTCTGAACCACCAGGGGCGCTAGTGGCTGCATTAGACTTCTGACAGCGTTGTCTTGAGGATGGGGATTAATGAGAGCTCACATCTTTCCTAGAGGAAAGGCCAAAAGCAGCATTTTGTTGCCATTTTTGTCTGAAACTATCTTCCCTTGTGTTGCCATAGCGATCATCCTGTTTGGGGAACCAATCAGATGGGAGACCAACCTGCAGCTAATCATTGATGTGCTGCTAACCAACGGTAGACCCGGGTGTGTGTATGACACACGGCTATTGGCACAGATGCCCGTTCTTGCCTGCAACATGGACCTGTTGTGGATGGCTGAAGCCCCGTCACCACGGTAACAGCCACTCCCTTCAGATGTGGGAGGGGCAGAAGGGCATCCAACCATTGGTGACCCGGATGTGTTGCTTCAGGTTCGGTCACGGGATGTTCCTGCTTTGTCTGGAGTCCATCTACAGGAAGTTGACCAGTCGGACGCTGGAGTATGAGGCAGTGCTGGGGAAACCCAGTCTGCTCACTACCAGTATGCCGAGCAGCTGCTGCACCAGCAGAACCAGAACCACAAGCTGTCCACCATCTATGCTGTTGGGTATCCACAACCCACCTCTTAACATATATCTGAGTCTGTCTCTGGATCTGACTCATTTGCCTGTGTTGCTTGTCCTTGAACCTATCTCTAGACCCGTCTCTCAATGCGCCTAACCAAACCAGAGACTTGATAACTTCATCCTGTTACCCTATTGATAACTTTGTCTTAGTCTTCATGTGTAATCTTGAATGAAACCAAAGTCTCTGTGTTACGTTCTGAAACCCCCAGTCTCTGATGCTGTCTTTCTGTCAGTAAGGATGTCTAACTGCCTGTGCTGTTGAATGACCAAACCTGTGCACCATGTGACTGATCCATCTGTTCCCTCAATACTTTCAGGTAACCAAGCATTCTGTCTTCCTCTCTGAATCAACTGCTGTCTGTGTTGAACTTGGAAGATGGAGATGGTTGTTTCCTGACTTTAGAGCTTCTGTAAAATGTTCCACTAAACTGATTAATGTTCAGCAACAACAGTCTCTAGAGAACTTTTTAAAAAGAAACTTGACACTATTCCTGTTGTCTAGGGACAACCTGATGACGGACATCTATGGTGCCAATCTTTATAACCGCTACCTGGCCAAACGCAACACTGACATGATGAGCAACACCAAACTGGTGGCCCAGGGAACTGGTATCCCGGTACCAGTGGTGGAGGAACTTGCCTTTGCAGCTCAGTGCCGTTCTATCCTGGTGGGTAGAGACCTCGTTTTGAAAATTTGTTGGGATCCTTCACGGTTTATAGCTGGGGTGGATGCATACACAACATGGATTTTAATGTAGTACAAGTACATTTGAATATATTGCCTTACCATAATGTACCTTACTTTGCCAGACCTTACAGGATCTTTTCTCGTCTTGGCATACCTAGGTTGTTACAGGTCCATTACCTCAGCAGGCGTTACTTCTCTAGAAATGAGATTTGTTGACCTTTCCTTGTCTTAGCCTTTCTTATTTTGACTCCTTGTTGCTATAATGATCCTCTACCTGTCTCCAGGTGTGCACAGGTGGTGTATAACCCTCATTCTCCACTGCCTGGTGAGCAGAACGTTTCAGAGACGATGGTCCACAGTCAGAACGACCTGAAAGTGGAGCCAGACCTGGTAGAACCGAGTCACATGGTGGAGGATGTGGAGGCCGCTGTGGACCTGATGCTGCAGCAGGAGAGTCCCAACACCTGATGCACCTGTCCTCCGACTGACCGTCTCAACATCTAACATGTAGTTCAGACTGGATACTTGGATCACGCCCGGCCTGTTATCTCCTACCTGTGGTGACTGTCTCTGTTTTATATGAGTAGAACTCTGCAGGTGGATCTCAAACTGTCTGAAGCTGGAATAGTTATCTTAACATTTTTATAGCAGAACAGGTGAAGCTAAGCTAGCAGTACCTTTAAGTCTAGACCTGTCTGAATTCATTTTGTCACTGTCAAAATCAGAAAACTAAAATAAACTTTTTTTCAACCTCATTTTCATATTGAGTCCAAGCAGGTGAGACATTACCTGAGTAGGTGTGTCTCTACAGGACCAAAGGTCATAGCAAATGTTTAGATCATTCTAGATGTTATTTTTGAAAAAAGTAAGTTTACTGCAATAATGTCATGAACAAGTCAAAATGAACTAAATTTGCATTAAAATAAAATCTTTGTGAATTAAAAATGCGAAGCTATACATCTTGTTTTTCAGATCATTTAATAGACCTTGAAACAGAAACTTTTGGGTTCAAAGTGCCTCAGATGATTGATGAGCCATCTGAACCTTTAGTAGATTTTTAGCAGGTTTACCTGAGTGGTGATTGGTGGACAAGGTGACTTGATTAATCGGTTATTCTTTGGTAACATCATCAAAATGAAGTGTGAGCATTGAAAGGACTGGTTAAGGAGGTAAATTCAAATTCAAAATTACTTTATTGATCCCAAAGGAAAAATAAATAGGCAGATTTAGTACCTGTTGGTTCCAACAACCTGCCTCCTGTGTCAGCGATCCTTCACTCATTGTCTGATAAAACTTCCTCCATAGGGTTACATCCTAGCCCTGGTCAAGTCTAGGTCAGATTATTCTGGGTTTTCAGGCCTTTTAACTGAACATGTGAAGATAAAACTGTCTAGATAGGAGCACCACTGTGGCAAATTTAATGAGATATTTGACTTTAACCGATTTGACAGGTTCACTCAAAACCGCTAAAGCAGTTGTTCTTTATTTTATAGATTGAACATTCAAGGAAGATAAAGTTTGTCTATTGAACTTATTTAGGTGTATTCAGCTCATGTATAGCTGATTTGAGGTCATCTTAATAAACCGTTTATTTCAGAAGGTGTGGAATAAACACATTAAGCCTCGGACTGTGAGTTTCAAATGGTCTGTGTTAATTCTCTCACTTTGGTGACTGAAACACAGTTCAATTCTATTCTGGGCTTTATTTTGCTGTGGCTTAAAGACTTTGACCTCCTCAACATGGCGCCGGGAAGCAGACACGTCGATACCGGAAGCGGGTCAGCCGCCGCGCCTGCGTAGTGGCTATGCCCGGTCCCTGTAAAGATGTCTGAGCAGGCGGGGAGGGAGCGGAGCGGACGACTGAAAAGCAGCGCGGAGAAGCCCCAACTGTCTGCTGTTTCATCACGCAAGGTAAGAGCAGCAGACCCGTAGGAGTCCTAGGAACACACCGACAGCCGGCTTAAGGTTTCGTATTGTGGATGGAGGCAGCTCCGGGGCTGCGGAGCCGGAGGGTCGAGATTCCGGAGTAGAAATGTTGGTAAAGGCGCGCAGAGCTGTGGCAGGGGCGTGTCCGCCATCTTTGAGAGGAGTTGGAGCTTAGCGGCGGCAGCGGACTGGAGTTCAGTCCAACAAAATCATACATTGGCCACTATCAGAGCAGCTATCGAGTCAGGCTGCCCAGTCCGCGGAGATTTAGGACATTTTCAGGCGGCCTGGCTACTCCTCGGAGTAGTAGTAATCGCTACGGTCTCCGATAGCGGAGCGCGGGGCTTCGAGCAGCAGCCGCAGCCTTTTGTTGTCCTCCTCCCCCTCCTCCCTGTTTTGCGCTGGCTCTCAGCGCGCATGCGTGTAACCATGGCGCTCGTTCTTGCGTCTGAGAAGAAAAACAACCGAAAAGCTTAAAACAGAAACATAAGATCAGATGGATCAGGACCGATCTGCTGATAGTCAAACAGAATTGGTCAGGCGCTGATGGATCAGAACTGATCGGCTACTGCTGGGTCTGAACCGATTGGTGCTGATGGATCGGTGCCGATCAGCTCCTGATCAACCAGGTTTAATTTCTGAAGGAACGTTCTTCCATTCAGTTCCCAGTCTTAGACAGTCTGGTCCAGACTCAGGTGCTCCGGATTAGTCCGTGAGAACCAGGATAAAGTCAGAACACACACCTGTCATTTTAAGTGCATTCTTGTGGCAATAGTTAGGTTGAGAGTTTTATTTCCCGCTTGGCCCCTGAGGAAAGACGTGTTTGATGTTCAGGTGAAGCTGAGGAGCAGGAGGAAATGTTCACTCTATTTAACCTGATAATGAAACCGCATTTGAGGTTTTTAATCAGAGAATCACTGAAGCTTTTCCTGGTTGATGATATATGGTTTTCACAGTTTTAAATTATAAAATAAATACATTTAAAGATCATCCTCTTTCATGCTTTGAACCTTTATCAGATGTTTTTTATTTAATTCAGCTAAAAGTCCAAAGATGCCCAGAATGTTCATTAATTCACCTGTAGATGAAAAATCATTGGAGTTTTTAGTTTTGAGGACGTCATCTCCTTTTGGTTTAAAACATTAAGTTTCAATTAATTTCTGGCTGAAAACAGTGTGGACCATTTCACTTCCTCTGTCTTTTATTCTGAAAGCCTATCTCTTCCTGTCAGGTCCACATGATTGTGATGAACAGCTAAATGTCCAATAACAGCCAGGGATCTGTGAAGGGGAGGCGGCCACCATGGTGCCACCCTCTGGCTCCGCCTCCTCTCACGGACAGCCCCTTTCTCCGTCCACAACCTCCAAATCACCTGAGCTTCCAGGTACCTACCTGTCCTCTGACTTGTACCTGTACCTGTCTCTGGCTCTAATGTCTCACTTGTCCTGCCAGATGAGTTGGTCCAGGCTGGATGGTCCAAGTGTTGGTCCAGGAGGGAGAACCGGCCCTACTACTTCAACAGATTCACCAATCAGAGCCTGTGGGAGGTGCCTGTGCTGGGTCAGCATGATGTCATTGTGAGTTTGGGCCGCTAATCGATTTCGCAATAACCAATCACTTTCAGCGCTGATGACTAATCAATCTGTTTCAGTCTGATCCGTTGGGTCTGAACGCAGCTCCTGCAGAGGGGGGAGATGGTAACCTTGGAAATGGCCAGAGGAAGAGGAGGAGCTCTGAGGAGCAGGGGGCGGGGCCTAACAGTTTCAAACGAACAAAGGTAAAAAAAAAAAAAAAAACAGGGCTGCAGCTAACCATTATTTTAATAATCTATTTTTTTCCAGTTATCGGATACATTCGGATCATTTTTCAATCACTGGTTAAAACCATGATGAATTTCTTTGTTGATGATTACATTTTTACAGTGCACATAAATTTGTCGACTACATTTTTCATAATTAGTGGTTTAAAACTTGTCAATCTAAAACATTTTTGATGAAATTATAACTAAAACTGAATATCTTTAGTCAAAAGATTAAGACTAAGTAAAAACTTGCTGTAAAAATTAATACTGGCTGCAACTAACAATTAATTTTGTAATCTGATTATTCTGACGATGAATTGCAGTCAGTTCTGCAGATTTTTCAGTGTACTGCATAAGCTTATTTTATACAGCAGTATTCCTTTAGTGAACGCTTGAAAATTTGTAGCAAAGGATGCATCTGCAGGTAAATAATTTAATATTAGCACAGTGTAGTGCTGATCTGATTATTTGTAGGATTAACCCATTAATAATGAGATAGCCTAAGATGCTCAATAGGAAATTATTATGGGCTTAATTTTTTTACCAGACACTTAACCAGGTGAAGCTAAAAGAGGAATTCTGGTAGGACAGATTTACAAAGATTTTTTTCTTGTATTAAATCCAAAATGTTAATATTTTTGTACATTTTGGTCTTCAGTGCTGCTCTCAGGGTGTTGGGCTTACGGACCTTTTGAGTCTGTATACCCCAGTTGACCATTAATTGATTACTAAATTAGCTGATGATTACTTCAGTAATAGATTCGATTAAATGTTTGAACCCTAACAAATAAGCAGCCATGTTGGCTGTGTTTTGGTAACGATGAGGATAATGACGTTTTTTCATTGATTCCTCTCACTAAAGTAACATTTGATAACTAAACATGGCAGGATGTCTGAGTTTCGTAAGGAAATAAAACATTTCAGTGACCCTCTATGTTTGGCCATGCCCACCTCCTGACGTCACTCATTAATCATAATATACGCAGCGCATTACTTGAGGAGACTTGGTGGACGTAAACTTTGAAGAGCTGAGTTGTTGAGGGACACAGCGACACATGTGGATTTAAACTCTGGACAAAACTCTAGAAAACTTAAGCGGCACCTGAAGGCTCACCGCGTTGATATTTTTTCAAAAATAAGTTTGCATACAATGTTATCTGATAATGGAGTTGAGATACTTTTCTTGGTAAACTGAGATTCTGGTGCACATGGCACTAACTGCAGGCTGTGCTGCACTGTCAGTTCCTTTGCTAATGTGTGTTAGTTTTAGGTAGAACATAGGAGGACTCCTTGTAAAATACGGAATTGTTCTTTATATGGCAGCGAGTCGTTGCTGACATATTAAAATGGTGACCGACGTTTGCCTTCAGCTGCTGATGTCACGGTGGCCTAGACATGAAAAACAAACATTGTGTTGCTCTCGCCTTTTTAAACGACCACCCGGTTCCTCACCGCGTCCTCAGAAGTGAAAACTGTTGAAATAAAATACAGATGTGAGCAGGAAGATGAGGATCCCTGACTGAACAGACAAAGCTGAAGTTGGTTTCTGATCCCGGAAACATCAGCATATTTAATCTGCTGCAGTTAAAAACTACAAGACTTGATTATTCTAAATCAATAGCAGAATATTTAGAACCATGTTTGTGATTTGTGAAATCTTTATCTCCAATAAAGGTTGATTTCACCACTTTTTACAGGGTTCATACAGTCATGGGAAACCTGGAAAGTCATGGAATTTCATTTCAGATCATGTAAAGTTATGGAATTTGCAAATAAGGGCAGAAAAGCTATTTTTTCTGAGGCGCGTGTTTCTGTGTGGTTCTCGGTTGTGCGTGCGTGCGCGTGTATATGATATTGACGACTCGGGCTTTTATTTCAAGACCACAGCTGTGGAAATGTCACTAAATTGCCAGCATATTGTCCAGTTTTATTTTTAACTTCTTTGTTTTCGCTGGATGCTAAACACACAGGTTCATAACGTGACTTGCTAATGACGTGTTTTCTGTTTCCGCTGTCAGTCTCGTCCCTTTAACTCGCTGCGGCGCTCTCAGGCATGCGCAGTGAGTCTGGGGCGGGAGAAGATGTCCGCCCAGTCGCGGGTCGTGAGGGGGTCAGGTTAGGGGTTAACAGACAGTATGACAGCGGAGCGCAGGAAGGAAAGGGAAGGAGAAGCACGACAGAGAGGTGATGAAGGAAATATCCTAGCTCAGTGTTTAGTTTATTTTAAACAGAACCGCGGCCCCTCGCCGCTTCTTAAGCGTTCGCCTTGCTAACAGCAGAACCGATCCGGAAGCTCGATGCTCTTGGATAATCCGGACAGCACTGATCCTGCGTTAGGCTTACTGGGCTAGACAAGAAGCAGGACGCTGTCAAAATACGGACATTCATTTGAAAGCATCGGAACAGGTTGACAAAAAGTCCCAAGCGACTCCTCCAGGTGGCGCTGTGGCTGCCAGCTCCAGGTGGTGAGTGCATCCAAACGGACCGGTTTGTCCTCCGCGGCTGTTTTGCTTTGCATGTCGTATTTCTAACGATGTTTCTCAGAGATACTTTGAAACGGGTTTCTGTGACTGGAATTGACATTCAAGTATTTGTGGAGGCGCCGAGTTTCAACCCGCCTGGAGCGTTTGGCGCATCTGACGCTCCGCATTGACTTTGAATGTAAACCAGACGTTTGGTGTGAACGCACCATTAGCCTCCAGCCAGCTAATGGTGCCGCAGGAACTGCCCTAAAGTACCACATCGCTCAATGCGTCATGTGCTGCCCGGCAGACAGAGGGGCAATACTCAACCTGACTGTCTGGTAAGGAAATCAACAATTACAGATGAGATACGGGTGATAAAAATCGAAAGAGAAAGGGAGACAGATCAAAAAGATAGATATGAAGGATAAATAAATACAGTACATAGAGAATGAATAGAGAACATTGTCAAGTTTGTCTTCCTTAGGAATGTTTTGTCAATATGTTGATCTGCTGACAGATCAAAAAGAAAGTAGCAATGCACTGACTGCAATTTTCTGGCCAATCACTGATCTTTATAAAACCTGACTTGCTGATTTTTATGTGTGTTTGCACGCATGTGTGTATGCAAAAATAATAAGTTATTAACTTGGGATGACTGTTGTAAACTGTGCAAACAGAGAGTTGAGCTGGTTAGCCCTCTGTCTTGGAAGAGCAACAGGAGACAGTGGCTGATTCCTGCAGAGGGCCTCACATTGGCTCAGGCCCAGGGGCCCTCACCCTAAAAAGACCGGCCCTGTGCCGCACAGACAATAAAGTGACCAAAATCTGCATATAGTGATGCAACGATCTGGAACGATCTGAATCCTCTAAACGATTCTTTACTGTGAACGTTTGTTCACAGTAAAGAACGTTTGTTCACTCTCAGGTTGAGAGTCGGTTCTCAGAGTGAACCGTTCTTTGATTTTGTAATGCTTTGTGAATACTGCAGTGGATATTATTATTATGTTTTATTAACAGTGTATATTTATTTAATCATCAAATTAGCCTCCGTTTGCATACTTGTGCTCCTGTCTGTCAGTTAGTTCTATGTACATGTGTTTACATTACTGTTAATATGTTTTTGTTTATGACATCATCATGTGATTTCTCAGTCAATATGTTGACACTTTTCAGTTCATGCCCGTCTGTTCGACTTCGTTCCACTTGGTCTTTCAGTCATATGCTTTTCTTTATGAACCTCTTGTATGTGAGTCATGAAAAATTATACTGAAGGTCATGGAGAGTCATGAAAAAGTCATGGAATTTTTTTAAATACCAGTGGTAACCCTGCTTTTTATGGATCTCGGTCACACGAGAACTGCTTCTGCTCCAAAACTGAAATACCTGGACTGGATCATTCTTCTCTAATAGCAGATTATTTTATTCCATGTTTGGGATTTGTGAAACTTCACAAAAGTTCAGATTACTATTCACACTTGTTTCATGCATTTTCTTTTCAAATTCAATTCTAATTGAAAAACACTTAATTAAAAAGGGAAATTAAATGTTGGCGTAACTCATTAATTATTACTGAAGAGTTATTGATGTCTGTTGGAAGGGAAGAGCTTCTGCAGCGGTCTGTACTGCACTGCATCTGCAGCCCTAACATCCCACAGCATGAAGGTGGACAGACTGACGCCTGTCGGCCACCTGAATAAGCAGACAAGGATATCAAGACCCCCTGCAGTTTCTTTATTGCAGTGGAGTTGGAGTTGATTACTAAATTAGTTGTGAAGCATCATGAACAAATCATTACAGCTCTGGAATATAGCGTCCATGTTGGGTCATGTGATCAGTGACTGACGAGCAGTGGCTGATGGGTAACTGAGTCCAGTTGTGTTTACAGGTGGAGCCGACCACACCCATCTCTCCCAGCACACCTGGAGTCAAACCGTGGAGCCTTGCCCCCGAGGAGAAGCAGGTTCCAGCGACGACGCCCACCACGCCCAGCCCGGCGCCGGCCCCCTACCGACCAGCAGTGTGAGTGCCCCGCTCCACCGCCGCTCCCCTGCAGGGGCGTCCACTGACTGGATGTGGGTTGTCGTTCCAGGATCTACTGGGATCTGGACGTCCAGACCAACGCGGTGATCAGAGAGCGTTCGGCAGCCAATCACCTGCCGCCGCACCCCGAGATTGAGCTGCAGCGAGCGCAGCTGGTCACCAAGCTGCGGCAGCATTACCATGAGCTGTGCCTCCAGCGAGAAGGTAGGTGAGCATCCACTGACAGCGCCTCGCTCTCACAGAGCGTCATGTGGTGTGTGTGTCCGCCGCAGGCATCGACCCGCCGCGGGAATCCTTCAACCGATGGCTTTTGGAGAGGAAGGTGATTGATAAAGGCCTGGATCCGCTGCTGCCCAGCGAGTGTGAGCCCGCCGTCTCGCCATCCATGTTCCGGGAGGTCATGAACGACATTCCCATCAGGTAGGGAAACTGAAACCTGGTCCAGATAGGGCAATGGTGCTCAAAGTGGGGCCGCGGGCCATTCACAGCATCTGGACTGATCTTGTGCTCCAAAGGAATAAATTTAATAAACTAGAACAACACTACGACTTTTTAATTAAATTCTACTTTTAAAAAATGTAGCATGCAACACAACATAATTAAAATTCTTGAAAATGTTTGAATTTCATTGAAGTGTTCTTAAGGTTAGGAAAATTCTTGATTTCTGTGTAAAGTCCTTGAAAGTTCTTGATATTCAAACTACACAGTTTTGTAATAAAGTTTTATCTAAAGTTTGATTAAAAGCTTAAATTTGGAAAATATTATTTACAGTTGAAACCAGATATTTACATACAACTCATTAAAAGACGAATTTTTCTTCCTGGGTGTCTGAAGTTAAGCCTGAATAAACTTTTCTGGTTCAGGACAATTATAAATACCTGAATTATTTCTATTAGCTAAATGCCAGGAAACTTAACGGGAAAATATTTGTAACTTTTTTGCATATTGAGTTTTAGTATTTAATTTGATCAGGAAGGTCATTAACCTTAACATGATTTGTTTGAATTATTTTAATGTAATAAATATTTGTTATTCCTAATGACTCAATGACTTATTGATCATCTTACAGTTGATATGTTAAACAATGTTATTGAAATTGGGGTATTTTTGTGCGATTTGTTGTCAGACTAGTCGGGTGAACAGGAGACATTTCAAAACATAAAATTTTATTTTATTTTGTTTCCTTGTTCTTGCTGTAGAATGCAGAATATTATCACAAAAAAGTATTAATGGCAGTAAGAACTGATATCCAATAACAGTGAATTGAAACTGTATTTTGTTTTTATCTCCAAATTGTTTATCTGTAAAGTTATGAAAATTTATCTTGAAAGTTGTAAAATTTTACTCTGGTAAACCAGGAAAATGGGGGAAAATTAGTTTTTTTTTTCTGTAAAAATATCTGATTACGTTGTTTAGGTAAAATGGTTCACGTTTAGTTTGCTGTTCAGCAGGTAAAAGAGTCACAACAACATTTTGGTCATTTTAGTGTCTAAAATTTTTATTTTTTTTTTGACCCGTGAACATTTCTGGTCTGATGATTTTGACTCGTGTGACCAAAGGTTTGTGCACCCCTGGTGTAAGTGGCCTGGTGGCTTCTGATTGACCCGGTTCTGGTCCGTTTGTGTCCATCAGGTTGTCCCGGATCAAGTACAAGGAGGAGGCCCGGAAACTCCTGTTTAAATACGCCGAGGCAGCAAAGAGGATGATCGACTCCAGGTGAGCCACAGCTGACCAATCACAGGGTGAGACGGCGCTGTGGGTGTGGCTCATGCTGACCTTTGACTTGTGCAGGAATGCGAGTCCGGAGAGCAGGAAGGTGGTGAAGTGGAACGCCGAGGACACGATGAACTGGCTGCGCAGAGATCACTCCGCCAGCAAAGAGGACTACATGGTAACGCCTCAGCATCACGTCACTTCCTGTCACATGACTTCACCTGCCAATGGGGAGCTGAGATGGAGGTCACTGAAACTTGACCTGGGCCATCCAGCTTAGAAATAAACTTTTTCATAGCAGATCTAATTTTAGATTTTTATTTTTTTTTAGCAAAATGACAAATTTGAAAATATTGTCAAAGTGACTTATTTTTTCAGTCATCCTTTCTGTGAGTTGGACAACAGTGTATCAGGACCAGGCTACAAGATTGTGATAATGTAGTAATAAAAAATAAAGAATTTTACAATAACGTCTAAACATTCTCAATAAAAAACTTGTAGAGATGTGTTGATATGAACAGCTCGGCTGTGATTCATTCTTTGAAACAGACTCAGTTGTTACAAAGTTCTGCTGCAGCAAAGCAGAACTTCATAGCAAACTTTTATCGTTTCAGCTTTTATCTTTAGTGTAGAAGTTCTCATAAATGTATTATTTCATTCTCCTAATATTACAACTTTATTCTGGTAATATTTTGACTTTGTTGCACAACTTTTATTCTCTGAATTAAAATAAAAAATGAGTCTGGCCCTGATGCACCGTTGTAGATTTGACCTGATTTCGAAGTCCATATAGATAAAATGGCCACTCTGAGTGATGACATCACTGAAATATGGCAGCAAGTGGATTTTCCTAAAATTAACCTTCCAAAACCAAATACTTCTAACTGAAAGCAGAAGCTCAGGCCCCGCCCCCTGACAGGTTCAGCGACCCCACTGTCTCACCTGCACCTGTGTCTGCAGGACCGCCTGGAACACCTGAGGCAGCAGTGCGGGCCGCATGTCACGGCCGTCGCCAAAGACTCTGTGGAAGGAATCTGCTCCAAGATCTACCAGCTGTCGGCCGAATACAGCCGCCGCCTGAGGCAGACGCACCTGAGCCTGCTGCAGGACCCCTCCACAGGTACACCTGAGATGATTTTATTTATTCTAAATAGTTTTTTAATATACTGGTGATGGGTTAAGCTAGCTTCATACCTCTGTATTTTTATGTGACGAGTATAAAAGGCTCAACTTGAACCTCCAATAGCTCGTCCTTAAAGGCTGAGTGGTAGTCGAGGTTTTATTTTATTTTTTTTAGAGGTTTGTGTTGACTGTGCAGTGAGACTGATGTGAGCGCATAAATCTGTGAATGAAAAATAGTGCTTAGCGTTAACATCTAACTCAGTGTCTCTACTCTGTGCTATAACTTAATAAAGTAGGACAAAAAGATCCAGACAAAGCATGAAATCACAAAAAATAAAAATATATAAAACAGAATTAAGGATACAGTAAGCATACTGTACAGAAAGATTACATTGCAACACAAAATACTGTGGAAGTGCTAAAAATATCTCACTTTGATCCGTAGGAATATGCAACAGAGTAGAATATTTTAAAATGTGCATTAAAACAGAATATTACAACAATAAGCCAAATCTGCAGCAAATCATAGCCAGGTGTTTTCATCCAGTCAGAATCCTGCATTCACTTTGAGCAATAACAACCAATCACAACCAGCAGATCAGATTACCGCACCAAGCCGCACACATGAAATCAAACCGCCAGATTTATGTCAATACAATAAATCAATGAGTTTTGTATCCTTTTGATTGTTGATGCTCCGATCAGGTCTTTTGCTGCCGATACCGATCATCCATGAGGCCGATCATCTGATCATCTGAATTGGCTATTACTTTTTTGCTTCAGGTATAAATTACTATGTGATCTGGCACAATGGAAAAATGATCTGCTAATAAATTCACTTAATTTAGACATAAAATATGCAAAAAAAACCTTGCAGACACAAAACAGCAGCTACTCAGTCAAAAGGACTGGAAAACCTCCAATCAGTAAAATAATATTTAACAATAAGGCTCTCACACATAAATTATGTCAAATAAATCTCACAACACAGATATCAAATAATATAAAGTAAAACTGCTGCTTCCCAGTGGTTGACTTTGTGTTTGACGCTGTGGTTGTAGAGACGTGCGCGTCGCCGCCTCAGTCGCGGCTCGTCTACTGCTACCCGGTCCGGCTGTCGATCCCGACCCCCGCCCTGCCCCGCGTGGAGCTGCACTTTGAGAACGACGTGGCCTGCCTCCGCTTCAGAGGAGAGATGGTCAAGGTCAACCGGGGACACTTCAGCAAGCTGGTGGGTCCTGTAATCTGGATACTACTGAGAGTAATTGATTACTCTGCTGTCTCTCCAGGCCTTCTGTCTGGAGACAGCAGAGTCTGGAGAGTCAGCCTTCTTAATTGTGTTTCTGAAACTTTAAATCAATGATGGGGGTGCCAGTACTTTCACCCTCTGAACAGAACCTGGAGGTTCAACAGTTTAGTTTTATTCTGTTCGTCTGACTCAGCTTGAATGAGTTTTTAAAGTGTGTTTGCTCGTTTTTCGTTGTTAAATATTGTACTCCAAAAGTGTTGATTATGTTGCTTCTGACCTGAACCTTCAAAGCCACAAAATGTCGGTTCCAAAGTCAGCCTTCTGACACCTGAAGAACGTTTCCAGGATCTAATGTCTGCTGTTCCAGAACAATGGAACAGCGTGTTTTCACTAAAAACAGGACTCTGTCCTCACCTGTCCCACCTGCAGGAGCTGCTGTACAGGTACAGCTGCATCGATGACCCTCGCTTTGAGAAGTTCCTGGCTCGAGTTTGGTGCCTCCTGAAGCGATACCAGGTGACTGTTCTCCAGCCGGTCCGGTCCCGGTCCAGTAGTTCTGCAGTGACGGCTCCATTAACCAGGTGTATTTGTGTCCAGGTGATGTTTGGCAGCGGTGCTAATGAGGGCAGCGGCCTGCAGGGGGCGCTGCCGGTGGCGGTGTTTGAGGCGTTGAACCGGCAGTTCGGCGTCACCTTCGAGTGTTTCGCCTCGCCGCTCAACTGCTACTTCAAGCAGTTCTGCTCCGCCTTCCCCGACATCGATGGGTTCTTCGGGTCCAGAGGGTGAGGCGCTGATCTGGCCAGGTGATGTGGGCGGGGCTTATCGGGGCGGCGCTGACGCTGCGTGTGTGTTTCAGGCCGTTCCTGTCCTTCAGTCCGGTCAGCGGCTCGTTCGAAGCCAACCCGCCGTTCTGCGAGGAGCTGATGGATGCCATGGTGACGCACTTTGAGGTGAGAGCCGGGTCGCTACAGATCACACCGGGCCGGTTCTGGGCTCATTGGTCCTTGTCTCCATCAGGAACTGTTGGATCGGTCTTCCGAGCCGCTGTCCTTCATCGTCTTCGTTCCTGAGTGGCGCGACCCGGTGACACCGGCGCTGACCCGAATGGAGGCCAGCCGGTTCCTGCGGCACCAGCTGAACGTCCCTGCCTACGAACACGAGTACCGCTCCGGGAGCCAGCACATCTGCAAGCGGTACTGCTCTGGTTCTGATGGGGCTGGGCGAGTTTAGCAGCGCGACATGCTGAGTCCAGATTTATTCATACCCCCAACATAGAGCTGGATCAAAACAAAATCAGCTATTTCTGATTTTAATCAGTTTTTTTTCTTCTCATGTTTTGACAAAAAGAAACCACAAATAACAGAACATCATTTTTAAAAAGTATTAGGGCCAAGCTACAATTTGTTTCTCCATTCTAACGTCATAATATTAGCAGAATAAAGACACAATTTTACCAGAAGAACGTCGTAAAATTGAAAGAAAAACAGCTCCTGGTTATCAGGAGCTCAATCAGTCCGCCTTGTTTTTTAAATAACAGTCTGGTTACTGCCACCTAGTGGTCAGTTTGCTTGCAAATTCAGCAGTTGATAATTTTATGATGTTAAAAAATTAAGTATTTTCTTTGTGTTGGAGTACACATAAAATCATTACTTCATTCTCCGAATATTACAACGTTATCCTCGTAATTCAATAAATAAAAAATCGCAGCCCAGCCCTGACAGTCGTAGAGTTGACCTGACTTTAAAGTCTAAATAAACAGTAGATGCAAAACAAAATGTTAAATATATCCATATTGTCCAAAAATTAAAAAGAAAAAAATTAATTGGATTTTTTTGGGTTTAGGTTTACCAACTCGTTTTGCTGGTTCTGTAACAGTCCAGTCAAAGTCCTGGCCTAAAGATTAGGTTTATGGTGATGTGACTGGTTTTGAACCTTGGGGGTATGAATACTTTTAGACTGCACTGTCCCTGCCCCTTTTGTTTCTGTTTTTCGGAAAGCGTGTTCTGACCCGGTTCTGTTTCCAGGGATGACATGTACTACCGGGCCGTCCACGGCACCGCCGTGCTCTTCCTCCAGAATGATGCCGGCTTCGGGAAGTGGGCTCCCACTCCGGAGCGTCTGGCGGAGCTGACTGCGGCGTACCGCCCCGCTCTGTCCCGCACTTCCTCCTTGTCGTCTCCTGGCCCCACCCAGTCCGCACCTGGAGACAGAGACTCTGCCCCTAAGGCCTCTGATAGGACACAGAGTGCGATGATGTCACCTGGCGGCCATGACAGCAACAACAACGGCAGCAGCAGCAGTAGCAGCCCTCAGGACAAGCTCACTGCGATGTAGAGGGGCGTGGCCTGCAATGGTCACGCCCCTAATGTAAATGTGTGTTTATGAACATCACCAGTCCCTCACCAGCACCTGTAGCACATCCTCTACCACCGCCATCAGGGGGCGGAGCATCATTTAAACTTCACTACGTCTCTTTAGTCTGTTGGCTGCTCTGATTGGTTGAAGCTCACCTGAAGCTGAATGATGTCAGCATCTGAACTGCTTCAGAGTTCCAGCAGTAAAATCCAGATTAGAGGGGTGTCCTCTGATTGGTTGTTATGGCAGCTATCATGTCTGGGACCGGGCCTAAAGCAGGGGGCGTGGCTTTGGTGGCAGAGGGGCGGGGCATCAGGTAATCCTGAAACCCATTAGTCATGGAAACGATATTTCAGTCCCAATCCAGATCTGTGATTCACACGAGATTAGAAAATACAAGATGTTAAGGTGAGCTTTAATCTAACCCAGTTTAATTCATACCAGATTGATTTGGTGTGAATTAAACCAAATTAATCCAGTTTAATCTGATGACCTCAAATCTAGTTTGGTTCAGTTCAGCATTTTTTTTTTTGTTTGATTTCTTTGCTCCATTACAATCTGGTTAGATCCAGTCTGATCTAGTTTGATTTGTTTGGACCTAATCTGGTTCATGTTGGTTGGATCCAGTATATTCTAATTTAATCTAAATAGAGCTGGTCTGAAGAGGTCTGGGTTCTGTAGGGATGGGTGGGTTCATCTGGATTAATCTGGATAGAACCAGTTTTATCTGGTTTAAACCGATTTGTGTGGGCGTGTCCATCTTTAATAGGAAAAAAGTTGACTCCTCCCACTTCTGAGTGCTTTCTGATTGGCTGGTGGTGGACCTATCAGGCGCCTGTCTGTGTGTAGATAGTGTACAGCTGGACTGATTTTGAGGTCTGTTGATGTTTTGCTGTTGATCAGTTTTTATTTGGTCTAATTTAACCTTTTGAAAGAGATGAATGTGTTTGTTTTTAACCGAACCAAAGTGTTTATGATGTATATGAGTGTGTACAGTACAGCCGCGTATGACAGCTGGGGCTCCTCCTGCTCTGCATGAACCTGTGGAGGAAGTTCAGTCCTGGACTGGTGGTGGTCTCCGGGGTCCTTCCAGCTTCAGTGTAAATTCAGTCTGTCCTTCGTACTGCCTGCAGACCTGCAGCTTCTCTCCTAGTAAAACTATATTCAGCCCAGTACGACCAGTCACCTCATCCTTCTGCACACACACAGGCATTCTATCATCCCGAGAACTTCCTTTAATTTTTCATTTATTTATCTAGCCTGACCCGTGACTCAAACATCACTGCTCCTTTTGGGGCCAGGCTCATAAACCCATAAGATGTGACTGAACATTCATGATGAAGTGAAAACCCACAAGTTAAAGTTCACCTTAGTCCGACCCGGCTCGGTTGTACATCTAAACCCAGTTAAATAATAGAGTTCTATACAAAAAAAACTGGATTTATGCCATCGTTCTGTCATCCCATACTGAGCTTTTATTTTGAAGCCTGGAGCCGGAACCTGAAGCTTCTATTTTGACACAACTGGCCGGAACTTTACCATCTCATGTAAACGGAAATGATGGTGTTACTTCCTGGAAGTAAACATCACATTTCAGATTGATTATTGATCAGCAGCCGATTAAAAACAAACTTTTAACTTCGCGTCCAGTCGGAGCGCCAAATCTACCCGGACCACGTTAAGTTTCCGTCTGCTGCTGTAGACACCGTTAGCCTAGCCGAGTTGCCCGGTTCAACCCGGCGTTCACTCGACCGAAACGAACCGCAGCAGAACTTCGGAGCGGGCCCAGCATGGGAGCTCATCGCAGCGAAGGAGGCCGGGAGTGGCTGGAGCAGGTCGGAGCGGAACATCCGGACCAGAACCCGGTAAGGATCTCGGAAGAGGAGGCAGCTAGCTACGGCTAGGGGCAGCTAGCTACGGCTAGGGGCAGCTAGCTGCGGCTAGGGGCAGCTAGCTGCGGCTAACAGCGGCCCCATATTTATTATTTAATTTTTTTTAAAGGGACGCCCCCCTCTATATTTCTGGATCTTGATATTAGGTCAAGATCCAGAAATAATTTATTTTATGTTTTATTTTAACCAGAGTGCTTGAAACGGGCTTACATATTTTGTTTCAGAATATTGACTCTATATTATATTTATCATAATTTTGTTGCAAATTCAGAACTTCACTGTTGTAAATTCTTTTTATGGTTTTTGTTAAGCTAAACTTTTAAAACGGAATGAAATATTTATTTTAGGTTTGTAATATGTTCATTAACTTGCTTCCAAACAGATCAGTGGAAACTTTGAGCTTCATTTAAAGTTTATGAATTATAGTTTCAGATAAACTGAACCCATTATGAGAATCTGGTTCTCTTCTGGACCACAACAAATTCTCTGGTCAGAAAATGAAGATGGGAATCTACAGATAGTAGCTATAAGCTCAAAATGATTTACCTGTGGCAGTTTTGGATTTATTTTGTATGAAATACCAATTTAAGCTGAAATAATAAAAAATAAAAAAATCGATTTTTATTAGACAGATAATGATGATGATGATTGAGGAGGAGACACTGAACTGCCTGTTCTTCATCATCCAGAAGCCGTGGAACCTGATGATCAAACATCGACATGTCCAGAGACGAGGACGGCGCTCACACACTGCAGTCAGGTGAGTGCAGCTGGACTGTGGTTCTGCTGGTTCCAGTTCTGACCCATCCAGTATAATCCCGTCCCGTGTTCCACCTGTGAGCAGCTACACGGATCCCCAGGTGTCCATGGACCTGCTGAGGGCCGTACTTCAGCCCAGCTTCAACGATGACATCATGGCAGTTTTTCAGGAAGTACCAGAAGGTCAAGGTCACGCCGTAGGGTCGGCCGCCACCATAGGGTTGAGGGCGTGGCGTGTGACCAGATGTGTCTGTGTTGCAGTTCTTTGAGAAGGCGGCAGAGAATGTGAAGGAGAATGTCGGCGAAGACATCCAGACAGACCAGCTGATCCGGGAGGCCTGCAGGAACGTTCTGGAACATGTGAGATCACTTTCTGTTTCCTCCCATAGTAGCCCAGGCTACCAGGCTACCTGCACTCACCTGATTCTGTCATGTCATCACCAGGCAAAACAGCTGTTTCCAGAGGTGGAGGGGAAAAGAACGGGGTCGGAAGTCGCGATGAAGGTACACGCCCTTTGACTGGCCAATGAGAGCAGGCTGTGACCCACCTTGGTTTCTGACCCGGTTCTGTTTGTTCTGCAGAGATCCAGAGCAGCTGATGAACTTTGTGATCAGAGGAAGTCTTCTACCTAAGAAGGTAGTGTGCTAGCCAGGTTGTCCTCAGCATCTCCCTGTTCGATGTAGGACTAGGCTATGTTAGCTAGCTTGCTGGGTAGGCAGTGTAAGCTGGGTAGCTAAGAGCTATCTAACATAACGTGTACTCTGTTAGCCATCTAGCTTTGTTGGGCGGCCATGTTAGCTACTAACGTTTTTGCACCTGCCGTGGGAACGTGCTAATTTTTTGCCGGTTGGCTAATCGTCTAATCAGGTGAGGTTGCTGACTGTTGCCTTCGTGTGATTGGTCCTTCTCTGTCCTCAGAGGAAAAGTCGTCCAGGTCCCGTCGTCTCCTTAGACCGTCCCGCGAGCTACCCTCTGTGAGTACCTGGCCAGGTGACATCATCAGCGTCCAGGCAGACCGCAGCACCTCATTGGTTTGAATTTTTCTCCTCAGTGTGAAGCCCAAGGCGGAGCCTGTGAGGGAGGGGCCAAAGGTGAGTGTTCTTAAACTCCAACAGGTGATCTTCAAAGGTGTGCTGTTAGCTGATTACTGCCACCTAGTGATTTCCTTTAGCAGAGCCATCGCTAAAGGAAATCACATGTGAGGAAGTTCACCTGTGTGTCTCTGTGTGTTTCAGTGGGATCCGTCCAGACTCAACGACAGCAGCACGTTCGTTCTTGGCTCCAGAGCCAACAAGTCAGTCACCAACAGGCACCAATCAGAACAGGCGCTATGTCATGAGATCAACTTTGATAAACTTTGTTGAGTAGCTGAACAGGAAGTGAGTCATTGGCTGCTGTGATGTCACCACAGGGCGCTGGGGATGGGCGGAACCAGAGGCCGGATCTACATTAAACACGCAGATCTGTTCAAGGTGAGTCCGGCTTCCTGTCACATGACTTCTGAGTGCAGGCATGCTGCTGACCTGCGGGGGGCGCTGTGTATTTCAGTACGCCGCTGACGCCAAGGACAAGCAGTGGCTGGCGGAACGGCACCACATGAGGGCCACAGGAGGCAAGATGGTGAGAACTCTGGTACCGCCAGAACATTTTGGTTCTGTTTGGTGGTTCTGCAGAACTTCTGGTCTCTAATTCTGACCCGTTTCTTTTCAGGCCTACCTTCTGATTGAAGAGGACATCCAGGATCTGTCCCGCAGCGACGAACAGGTGAGACCAGCAGTTCGGGTCGGGTCGATGAAGCCAGAACAAACAGATTCAGGCTGAGTCAGTCGAACCGATCCACACTCCGGACCAGAACCTTACAGCATTCTGACTCTCTGATGGTTCTATCCCACTGCTCATTGAACTGGATCAGAACCAGACTGGGACAGTATATTAAATATGGAGTCAATAATGTGGTTCTGAATCTCCTTCACTTTCATGTTTCTATTTGATTACCTATTGAGATCAATAAAGTAGTTTTGAATTTATTCATATTACTTTCCAGCAATAAAAGAAATTCACTATGTTCTTAGTTTAATTTTCATATTTCTTGCTTATTGTTGAGCAGGAACAAAATTCTCAAAACCTTTTAAAAGCAAAATGGTTTGCATGATAAGCCGCCTGCGTTTTCCAGGGACTGTCCGGACGTGCGGATGGATGAGCTGAAGCCGTTCGGCGTTCCTCCCTGGATGGTGGAGAAGATGCAGCGCGCCATGGAGGCTCAGAGGGACAACGACCCCTAACGGTTACATGACCCCAAGGCTCTCATCATGTGACCCCTTCATTATTATTTTTATTATTGGATGTTTCTGGTTTTGTTTTTCCTGCTGAAAAAACCCCCAAATAAAATCTGTTTCGTAGACGATGTTTCTGCCGTCTCTCAGCTGTGACATCACTTCCTGTGATCAGCTGACATTTGGTTCTAGCAAATATGAAGCTTAACAAACGCTCAAGACATGACATCACAACTTTATTAGAAAAAACATGGGGTGGAGTGAGGTCATCAGAGTGGGCGGGGTCACTCGATTCCTTCCTGTTTGTCTTTAATGGCGACCCGGAAGCGTTCCTCCAGCAGCGACAGCTCACTGATCAAGTCTGTGATGGCATTGGTGAATGCTTCCTGGGGAGAACATGACATCACTTCCTGTTAGCCACCACTTTCTTTCAGCAGGGATGCATCTCGGCTGGCGTGTGCAGGCGAGTTACCTGGGACTGTAGTCAGGTGTGGTCTGGACCCGGATGACGATCTTGTGCTCCAAGGGATGAGGAACTTTATAACCAGCGAACAGAACCTGAGGATCCTTCAGCAGCTGACTGGAACACACACACACACACACACACACACACTGGTCACAGGGACAGCCTGCATGCTGGACCGCTGCTATGTTTGCATTCAGGTAACATCAGTGAATATAAATAGAGGAGCAACAAAAGCAGAGGAGGTGGAGAAGCGGCTGATGTCATATGGACCATGTTGACATTAGAGGCCTTCTCAGTCAGAGGCCTCTTCAGAGACACTGCAAGACTGACTGCTGCAGGAGATCCTTCCACAGCATCACTGTTCTACAATCTGAGTTATAATATTTAGTTTCCTGTTTGGATAAATGGAGGATGTTTAAGTTACTGCAGTAATCC